TTTACTTCCTATGACCAATTATATAAAGATATATAATCTTTATAAAAAATGTATGAATGCATTGCATCGGTGAGTTTTGGATACGCGCATACAATGTTGGAATATATTAGATAATATGTGAATTCATTGTACGCATAAAAGTTAATGTTACGATCCAGTCCGATGCTCATAGGAGTAAAAAGATAAAAAAAGATACGTTGTTGCAATGCTTACAATGATGACGTCACATTGTTGACGACGTCCGAGAGTTATATGCATTGCCTGACATATCGTTTGTATTTTGCAATTTTTTTTTCGTGTGTTCATTTAATAATGTTGAATTAAATATGAGTTATAAATAATATCCAGCTTAAACAGAATTAAATGCAGGTTTCAAATAAACATCACAAAAAATCGAATTTCTCATAAATGTTCAACTGACGCCCACACCGGTATTAACAATCAGGCCGTGAGCGGCTGTCAATGAAACCATTGCAAAATTGAAAACACCATCTTTTTAGCCTACCAAGTTTGATGTAGGAAGGTATACAATTTAATTATTTACGACTGTCGGAAAATACTTGTAACGAAGTTAGCAATTACGGTCTTTTATTTCCATTTGTTTATGTGTATTCTTTCTGTGACACTTTGCAACTGGATCGTTACCGAATTTCAACCTAGTGCATCCGATATAATTGACAAATTTATGATAATGTGATGTGATGTGATATGGCATATCTCCAAAGAAAATGCTATTCCAGTATAAAGAGCTAAGGCGGGTTGCTATGCCTATTTCCCCCAAAGCTATGATACGCTAGTGCGCGCGTCTAACCTTGCACTGTTATAACGGGTCCTCGGATACTAGTATATATGTAGCTCTCCCAGAATCCCGTATCTAGGAAAAGACTTTTGTAAACAGACGAATTTAAGGCAATGGCTATTAATACATGAGTTTCACGATAAAGACTCAACAAAACGCTTATTTCGCTTTACGCTGTATATAACACAAGATCGTAAAATCATTACCAACAAGTTTGAAAAGATTTAATTTTCATTACTACTGCATACGTCATGCCGTTACCAGTTTTCTTAAAAACACTTCTTGAATGTGTTCTTCCTGTACCTTAGAAAGGTAAAATTACATTTACTTTTTATAACATGTCTTACACGTGTACTGCGCTCCTTACGTTGTGCTGCAGTCTTTCTGCATTTAAAAAATGAGACTGTTCTCGACGATGCATTTTCCCGCATGTTCGGTAATACCTTTTTTTTGCTTTGCCTTTTTTAATCTGACGCAACAATACCATATATTTTGTATTTCAGCATCATTTGTTTTTGTTTTGATAATAGATAAAAATACTAGTGCCAATTGATGAATTCACAAATATCATTTAAAATGATGTCTAAACTACAAAGCGTAGCTGTACTGTACACGCATGTTGACATGATTCCATAGAAGATAAAGCAATATGTATGTTATTAAGATATCAATAAAATGTTCCACTGATTTAAAAAAAAAAAAAAATCACTTAATTAAGGAAAATGATCACATGCCTAAATAAAAAAAAGTGTATCTGACCGTAGATTCGAACCTATATCGTTCACTTCTTCTGGTCACAAGCTAACTGTGTTACACATTAGGCTACATTGGACATAGACGAATATGGTAATACAAACTGTTTAAACCAAAGAAATAAATGTCGCAGTTTTGAGAAACTTGATCAACCCTGTTTTGTCATTATTTTGAGCACTTTCTCAAAGGAGGACCACTTTTCCGTCATACGATTTGTGTTTGCATATAGCATCACGGAATCAAAATTCTATTTAAAAGTTGGTAATCGGATAGGAAAGTATTGAAAGTAATTTTTTAAGTCTAGGAAAACCCGTCACTGCCATAGGTTTAGTGAATATGGCTATATTTGCAATATTATTTTAACAATACTAAATACCTCAACAGTTACAAAACTCATATTCCATTGGTTATATATATATTCCATGCATTTTCGCTATTAAAATATATTTACTCATAAATGTTTTATTTTCTGTTTTTAAAAGTGCCGACTTAGGGAAATACGGGCAGTTTTCCGCCATAGCTCTTTGAATAATTGGATGCAAATTGATCCCAGCCGACTAGATTCGGTGATCTTTAGACGCAAGTCAAATGCAGTACCAGTCACGTTTCTTCTGTTTTGAGGGTTCGTGTAACAATGTTAATAATGGATGGAGGGAAATACTGGAAAACTTTTGCTGAAATAGGTTAATACTGTGTCATGCTCGGTCACGTGACCACGGAATCTACAGTATGGCTTCATTGTGGGTGGTATATCGACTTCTTCAAACATGAACAGTGTATCAATCTTTGCTCTGATGCATTTACTTAAATGATAATTGATATAAAGATAACTCTAGTTTTGATACGGCGCATTTGTGCATGTTTGTGTAGGTGGAGGGGAGGCATTAACCCCGTTGGGGACAGTATTTACCCAGATACGTATCAGTATGCACAGTGTATCGTTGTGTAAGCAGTGTGATACAAATGTAATACGTATTTTGTTATGTTTGCTATGCATTCTTTTGTTTACTACCTACAAGGTTGCATGTTACGCACTGAACTGAAGCTTGTGCATTGAAAAAAGGACTTTGGAGTTCTCAAATATGTTTATCATTTCCTATTTTCAAACTGGTTCGTGAAAGGCATGTTTTGTAACATAAGACGACGGTGGTATCAACCGCTTTTTTTTTTCCTGTCAAGATTTGGTCACCACCGTATACTTTTATACACTCATAGTCAAAGTCCCTTCCGTAAATAGTCATACATGAAGGAGTGTCCAAATCGCGCAGATTCAAACTAAAGTCACCTCACGTTTCTGCTTGTTTCCAGCACATATAGCAAACTCATTGTCAATCTTAATGTCCCGATGTCCGGCTCCAGTCACCTTTTAAACACATTACTTTATTACAATTGCATTTCTAAAGCCAAAGTAAAATATTGTCATTAAATAACCCCCTGATGTATCTTAAAGTAAAGCAGGGATACACAAATATTATTGTTAACTACTTTTGGGCATATATTATGCAAAAGCATGGCAAAGTCCATGTAGAAGTATGCTGATAATGAAACTGGGGGATTAATGTTTGGTTGATACAATGTTCAGTCTTTTCCTAAGCCTGTCTTTGGCAATCCCAATGGAACAGAAACTGTGCTGCTATCTTGGCCGACTTGCTTTTTGTTTCCAAATTAAACGGAATTTATTGAAACCTTACCATGACCTTTCAATTCACTTTTCAATACATAGACCATGTATAAGTAAGATGCTTAAATAACAAACAAAAAAAGGTACATTGTATATGTTGTAGACATAACAACGATGGCATTACAATCGTGCCTTTACATAAACCACCTACCTTGGTATTTACTGTACAGCATGATTAAGATGTACGATTGGCGATACGATTTCTATCTTCTGGTCATGAGTTTTCCCTTTCATGTTAGTTCCAGAGAGATGATATGAGACTGAAAGGAAGAAAGGAAGCTAAAGCCTACAACATTTTTCAATTTTATCAGTTTTTTCACAGATTGCTTTTTAGATTATTAAAGGAAAGAAATAGAGGCCTTAGTCAAAAACTAATTTCCCTGGAACGTTTATGCTACGATGTTTGTATTTACCTGTATTGAGTCATTTTGAAAGTATTGTCAGCGCTTGATAAAGTAAAATAAACTCAGGTCCGAAAAATACTTTAAGTAAACTAGTTCACCAGGCATTGTTGACTCGGCTTATTAATGTAAATGATCCAGATTCTCTTAAGTACATTCTCATTAAACAGTAAAGAAGTTCGAAATAATTTTCAGATATATTCTTTATTCATTTATTTCACTATATATACATTTAATTGTGAATTTCAATTATTCTTAACGGTATCGACAACCCTTCAGAAAATGCCAAATACCAAAGTTTGAAAGTGACGTAAACATAAATTAAATATGACGATTGCGTATAACAGTATACAGTGAGTCGGGTGTTTTAAAGTTAGAAGACGCTGTTTTGTTCGCTCGAGTGCTCGCTTAGCTTCACGGTTTAGATTCACTGTCGTATCCCTATAGTCTGGTCGATAAACTCGCGGTGAGTTTTATTGCCGAATCCTTTAAGTTTTACAGCTTTACAAAGTCACAAGTTACGCCTATTTACATTAAAAGCTCGTTGAGTGACTTAGCCCATGTGTCATAAGCAACACTTTCTTCAAATTATCATATATACCAAAGGTCAAAATAATGCAATTCCATATATGAATATGATATATGAAAAGACTTTTATATCATTCTTATCAATTTGATTAATATTGTTTAATTGTCAATACCTCAGTTCCTATTTTAGGACATAAGATTACTTTGATTTCACCTAGATTTACATGTTAATGAAGTAGAAAACGCTTACCATCACTGACACCTGGTCCTGGTTGTTTTCATTCGTCCCCATACAATTCTTGCTTTGGTTAATATTTGGCTTTACATCGGTTTTGAAATAGAAAAAAAATGTCTTGTTCACATCGGATTTGACTTTACAGTTTAGCTTTACCTTTTACTCTGAGCTGCTAATCAAATAATTGTGTAGTGAACTGTTATTGAAGTTTAGCATATACCAGAATAAACCTGTTGTACGTTATTGTTTGTAATCGCACGAACCGACTTCTGTTGGGCACCTTACAATTTGGGTTTGTTGTCTTCTGCGCTGTCTTTGTAGGAGATTATATATAGACCGAAATTGATCTATGTCAACGTTGGAAGATAACAGATAACCTTTGTGTTTTTATAATATTTTTCATTTCGGCTAGCTATATCTTCCATCGTCATTTGACTTCATCTGTTACCAGGATGTTGAAGCCCGCAAATAGTTCAATAGGTAAACACATGCGTATTCATGTGTCAAAAACGATTTGACAAAGAAACTGTACATTTTTAACAGTGCACCTTTTTGTTAAGATATTATAATAAATTTCCAATATTTTTTGGTTTTATAGACACAACATGATTGCGGGTATAACGGCCGCCGTAGCAGCAGGCTCCAGTTTAGCGGGTACGACCGTCAGCGCCATGACCAGCAGTGGAGGGTACAGTGTAGCCTGTGGGATCGAGACTGCTAGCTGGACCAAGTATACTCTGGAGAAGCCTACGGCGTTCAATGACGGCGGACTGATTAAAACCCCACCGATAGATATTCTACCGGGTGTCAAGGAGGCAATGGTAATAATTAGTTTGATACCTATAATGCTATTCCAGTGTCCACGTTCATGGTAATGCCGATACCTAAGTGTCGTTTTCAACATTTTAATTTTACTGATTAAACAGGTAAGCTAGCTATATTTTTGATTACTTGATACATATTTCTACGTTACGAGATTATGATCAATTATGTTAATTTTAGTCGCATGTATGTGACTAATATCCTTTCATTACCATTCTACTTATACATTTCCTGAAATGATATCAGAATAGTACCTATATATCATATCATATTAATTCTTAAATCTACTAACGTATATACAATGCGGGAATATTTTCCATATTTTCAAAATAATATTAACAACAATATGCATAACAATCGTTTGGAATTTCTCTTTCATTATACACACATTCAAACATTGACGAGAAAAAACACAAAGGAGACTATTACATCATGGATTTTATTTTCAACAGGTGGCTCATAAGACTGGATGAACTGCTACAGGGACGTATGGCTCAGTTTCCTGGGTCATCAAGGACAGGCGTGCGGTAGTGATGTGGGCAGTGCCATTCAACCATGACTACTACACCAACTGGTTAGCTGTTGGTCTCACTAAACCCAGCTACACAAAACATGACCCGCATTGGTACAACACCATGTACTACAAGAACAATACCGAGACATTTTCATTTGAAAGGAAACAATTTTATAATGATGTTAGCGCCCTCTCATTCTCTGATGGAGAATTCGAAATAGAAGGAAACATGGGATCTACCCATATCACAAACGTGTATATTATTGTCAGACCATGTAACAAACAGGATTATGCGCCATCGCTCCTCAAAGCATTGAACAAAGATGAATAGACACGTGTTTGTGGAAGGCACGATTGCATAAAAATCAAATAAAAAAATGTATTTTGTATTTAAACATGGAGAAATGATTAAAATATGTTTTAAATCACCTGCAACAATAACAAGATTAAGCATATTATTAGAGATCGTTGTTACTTACCGATAGTAATGTCCTTTATGTATGTTAATGCTTCTATCTACGCACACATCTTAGTGTATCTTATCGAATGTAATAAGAATTGAGCACTCAAAAAATATGTACATGGAAAACAATAAAAACTCAACTCAACGCAAAAAAACAATATCACGATATTAATTACGCGAAAAACACTAAATACGATAACCTTTTACAACTGCTAAACTTACTCATGTTTAATACCTCGATATATAAGTTCTTTTATGAAACTTAAAGCATCAACATTGTTCAAAGTACACTGTTTTCGTGACAGTTGTTTAAGCTCGTCCTACGTAATTACAAAATTTTACTTTTGGAAGAAATGAAGTGATCTAGTATGTACAATGTAAATAAATTATTTTTAAGAAAAGCATTTCCGTGTTTAAAGAAATTGTCTACATCAACAAACCTATTGTTAAAGACCTCTGATAAAAAGAACTCTTCCTTTATATCACACCTATTTTTTACATTTATACACAAAACAAAATATTTACATTAGACTATATCTGAAATGATAATGTCTATTGTTTATTTGTTCTGGATTTTTATACTAGAAGATTATATGCACTCTGAGTAATCAAGTGATCATGGCAGTGACGGGAATGATATACCCCGGAGGTGGACTGGATAATGTATTTATCACCAATTACACTTTGTTGTCTTCACCAAGCAAAGCATAATCAAAAACATATCCTTATATGTGAAAATGACTGAAATGTGTTCAACACATGGTTTATAACATTGTCATACACACTGACTCCGTACGTGATCATGAAAACCTATTATTTTCGCCTGTGCAGTAAAACGACAATCAGGTTTCTTTGAGGGATAAATAGCAATAGAAATTGATATATATCTAACAATAGATATATTCATGTCATTCATGTAGAAATGCAAATGTTGTTTTTATATAACGGACACATAACCATTTCACACTTTGTCTAGCTGGAATCTCTAATATATACAATCTTATATAACTGCTAATGTTATCAATAAAATCAATTTAAACTGCTTTTTGAGTTCTTTGTTATTCGGTGTTGCTATACGTATTGTTCGGAACAGGTGTTATTAATTGAAATATCGCTGTCAGATATATGAAAAGAATCGTTTTTGAAGCAACATTACATCCAAAATAATAGATTAGTTCCTTGATAATTACGTTCTTAACGTCAAAATCAACTCTTTATACCAAAATCCGAAATAACCGACTTTCTCTTTGCATAGATGGTCAGACCGTCCTCAATAGGGTCTTTCAATAAATAAACGATTTGAATTCGATTTAGGACACGATTCCATTGTGTTTTGTAGTATACCGGAGCACATCCACATACTTTCCATTCGCGGATGGAAAGTTTATTTATTTATCTCTGCCAATGCGCTGACAATGATATCGGTAACGCAATATTACACCTTTTAGGAACAGGTTTTTTTCATAAAGAAGATGGTAATTTTTTTCAGTGGTACGCTTGATTTGTGTAGCTTTACAAAAACAATGTCTTAAGTTGTTTATAGTCCTTACAGATTACTACTGTCAGATAATGTAAACTATACAAACGTATACGGTACACTGTTCATAGGTCAGTATGCAATTGACATCAAATAATTCTTTTCATATTATATACATGTAAATTGTTAAAGAGGCATTCCGTTTCTCCATTAGTTTGTTATTGGTGTTTCGCTACTGATAATGTAAACTGACCATGAGTCTTTACCTGAAGCTTTTGTTGTCAATACGAAATAATATAAAGAATTCAGCTATATTTAAGTAAATATTCATAACAAACAAAAAGTACATGAATATTATTAATTGTACTAATACATTTTGCTAGAGTCTGTTGGAGCTTAAAACCCTGCATGCTACACCAAAACATTCAAAATTATTATAACGGAAAATGAATTATGTTCTGATATAGAAGATTGTCACCACATTTAAGTATAAATATGCACCATTTCTTTGCCTTGTATTTTTTTAGTAGTTTCAGAACATTTTAGAAGCGGATATTATTTTCAGACCTTAGGAACCACTGATAAGTGTTTCGTTGTACTTAATTGCTTTTTGGTGCAACAACACTTTACTTTTTAGACATATGCATTTTTTAACAGATGCTTCCTTTATTGTATTTGTAGACATTAGTGTCAATTTTGCAACAATATAATAATAATAATATTTATTATAATTCTTAACTGCATATCTACCTATAATGCATTTGCTTCAAACAGGGTCAAATTTGTTGAAAAAAGGAAGCAAAATGGTGTGAATAGCAAAGAAAAGAATCAAAGACGTGGCACATTAAAAGCAGTCTGCTAGATAGTGATTATATGTTCTACTAACGTATGGTATAGGGAATAAAACAATCTTTTTCAGACACTCTGGTGTTCTGTTTCTTTGTCTTTTTTTATCTATTTACATGTTTTACCATATGGCATCGTTACTATATAACCTTACCACTTTCAGATCGTACATTTAGACTATGAATGCCATGAGCCGGTTATTGCCATTATCGTTATTATGACATCATACTTGTTATGTTGTTTGCTCTTCTTATCGACTTTGTATTCCTATTTTATAGTTGTGTGTCCATTGATTTAAACAAAGTTTTATTTGCATCTAATGTACAAAAGGGATTGGGCACAAGTTGTCCAACTTATGTAAAGCCCTTTCCCAATAACATAATGAAATAAATATATAACAATGTCCAAATGATTGGAAATGCCGGTTGTGTAACCAATCCGGACACAAACAATCAGTGTGCCCATCACCCTCTGAGGTACCCCAGTCTGACGGCATTACCAGCGAAGCCGAGAACCGTGACGAGATAAACACCAACGAAAATGAAAACGTACGTGAAGACGACTACGACAGTGATCATAGCTCCGACAACGGCCCGCTCCCTCAAAACACTAATATTGACACGCTCATCCCTGACAGTGATGCACATAAAGAGCGTCGTCAAATCAAAGTGTCCACAGGAAACAGACGCGTTGTAACGGGCAAATCCAATAAGGTCGCGACACCGTCCTCGGTACCCAACAAAGCGCCTGGACTAAAGTCAGGACAAGGCCGGACCCCATCAACCCCAAGTGAAGAGCTAAACACAACGACAAAAAAGGTTAACTCAGGCTCAGGTCCACCGACCGCCGGTAATAAGCGAAAGCCAAGTGGTACCAGCGGTCGACCCTGATCCGACACCATGTCTAACCTGTTATTTGGTTATATTGAACTGTTTATCGCTTGATGGACTAATGAGAATGACATCGATTTACACAAAAATGAACGCTTGGAAACTGAATATGACGATACTAATGATAAACGTTGTACTCGAAGTGTGGTACGAGTCGGACAATCTTTATATGAAACAAAAACTTGAATCTTCGCTAATATACATGTACATGGGTGTATATAGATATGTACATGTATGTTTATGGGAAGGAGTACAAACTATTACTACATGTAGTTTGTACATACTTGTATCCACAATTCTATTCTACCTAAACGTACTAGTTTTAAATTTAAAGACAGTTGTAACTATACTAAAAAAAGAATCTCAACATTACATGTATGTACTTAAAATCACATATCTTACAGATGTTCGTAGGTACGTCTCGGTATGGGAAATTATAATACTGAAAAATGTTTTACATGCATTCAAAATATGGTACAAGGTAAACAAACATGAAGAGATAGGTAAGCTTACAGTTATAATAACAACTGTACTTACATTCTGCTATGTAATTCAACCTGTCTTGATCCTGAAAATGTTGGTAAGTGAACTTCAAAACTTATCTCAGTATTACATCCATTTGTTCAAGATCAAATATGTTCAAGGCATAATTAAGTATGTCTCGATATATGTAAAGCAAATTGAAAAAAGATTGTACCTAAATATCTATAGTCTAAATATCATACACACTCACAACATGCATCCCTAATCACCAATCTAAAAGCACAGTCCATATTCTGTCGCTTAACACCCAAGGACTAGGAGAAAAGAACAAAAGAAATCGTTTATACACATATCTATTTAATCAAAAAGTAGACATAGCTTTCATTCAGGAAACACACTTCACACAAAAATCAGACAAAATTCGATACGCTGAATGGGAAGGGGACACTATAGACAGTTACGGCACAAGTAACAGTAGGGGATCTTCAATACTGATTAGTAGTAAACTCGATTATAACATTGTAAATACACATACAGATGTTAATGGTCGCTATGTACTCATAAACATCCAAATTGATCAAACAACATACACACTGGTAAATATTTATGCACCAAACAACCCACAAGACAGAAACATGTTTTTTTAAAGAATCAATGAAGTTATAAAATCTGAAGCAAAAGGCTGTCTCATCATAGGGGGTGACTATAACGACACCTTAAAACAAATAGACAGAAAAACTAATATAAATAAACGAAACACAACTACCAACAGCTTAACACACACTGAGAAACACTTAAGAACGAAAAAATTAATTCTACGACTTAATCTACCTTATTATACCAGTAAACTTCAATTAGCATTGAATTTTACAAAACACAATCTAAATAATAAAT